CTTCTGGCTGCGCGGTCTGCGTGACCCGCCCACACCGTCCCAGCGCCCGGAGCGAGCCGGGTGGCGCGCGCCTGCGCCTGCGCCTGCGCCTGCGCACACCTGTGCCCACCGGACCTGCGCTCTGGCGCCCTCTGCTGGAGGCAGGGAGAGCAGCGGCTTGCGCCTGGCCTCGGATTCTCTTTCTCTTTGGGCACCTGCAGAGCTGTTGGTTGGTTCCTGTTCTCGCCCCTAGTTATTAACTTTACTCTCCGCTGGAAAATATGTATGAGTTAAATATGCAGCGAGAAAATCCCTGGCTTTGATGTGATATCCGAATTTGAGTCCAGCCTTCACTTATTGGTAGTATGGTATTGGTTTAGATAAACTTTAAAACATTTTTTTCAATTACAGTTTACAGTCAATATTATTTTGTATTAGTTTCAGGTGTACAAAATAGTGGTGAAACAATCATATGCTGTACAAAGTGGTCCCCCAGTAGGTATCTATACTCTTGAGTCCTGGTTTTCTACCTGTGAAGTAGGTACTGCCTCCTAGCGGTTGCATTATAATTACACTTGGAGGGAAAATGGAATATCCAGTGCCACAGGGCTAAAACATCAAGCATAGTCCTTCGTCTGACTCCACACCTACCCTGAGTGGGGTAAAGGGTAGCTACACCCAAGTCACAGGTGCTGCCCACACTCAAGGGAGGGGATTGGTTATCGGGGTGTGAACAGCAGGGGCAGAAATCCTGAGGCCACCTAGGGTCTGTCTGCCATGTAACCCTTCATCTCATACACCTTTTTTTTCCTTCTGAATTCCTTTAACGTCTATTTGGGAGCTGCTACTAGGACAAAATATACTCTGTAATGTTTATTTTATTTGTGGGTGTGTCCTCTCTAACAAAATTATAAATTCCTTGTAGTTCTGTATTTCTCCAAAGTGTCTTTCAGAATGCTAAACACATAGTAAGCATTTATTGAATGTTGTAGGATAAAAGAAGTTAAGGACCAAGTTACGAGAGCATTCCTTATGGATAAATTCCGTGATCATGTCTTCATTCAACATTGATGAGAGGCAGTGGAGCGGAGTGACTGAGAACAGGGACACCAGAGCCAGGCTGTCTCCGTTGAATCCCAGCTCCCCTACTCCCTGTGAGACCTTAGGCATGTTGTTTATTTCTCTGAGCCTCAGTTTATTCACCTATGACATAAGTATGACACCTGTTTCTCCTTCGTTAGGGTTATTATAAGGATGAAATGTTAATATTTTGGAAACGTTTCAAACTGTGCTTGACTCATAGCAGCACTATGTTTGTTGATTAAAAATTAAATGCCTGCTCTGAGCCAGATACTGTGCTAGAAGCCCGAGCACAAAGATGAGCAAGACTACATTCAGGACACAATCCAAAAGACAGTACAGCCCAGCTGCTGTTGCTCAGAGGTGAGTGTTGACCCATGAACCAAGAGGTCACCAGCTCTACTCCACACATGCCTGCAGCCAATCGATGTTTCTCTCTCATCGATGTTTCTATCCCTTTCCTTGTCTCTCTCTCTCTAAAATCAATTTTTTAAAAAAGCCAGGTACATTGTGTCTATGTGTTTATCCACCATTTCAGAACTAAGAACATAAAACACATATTTTTCCATTCCTGGGTACAAAATTCTTAGCCAATATTTAGATACTATTGAAAGAACATGTTAAAAGACTAGAGATTATTTTCACTAAAATGTATTCAAAATAAACTGATGAACAAAATAGATCCAGAGACATGGAAGCATGGAACAGAAGAATCTCAGAGGGAAGGCTGGAGGTGGGGGCGGGGGGGGGATTAATTTGGGAATTTATATGCATATATGCATAGCCAGAATACCGACAATAGTGTGGTGAAGGCCTGGGAGGGGCAGGTGTGAGGTGAAGGGGGGTCAATGGGGAAAAAAAGAGGGACATCTGTAATACCTTCTACAATAAAGACAAATTTAAAAAAAAACAAAATGTATTTGGAATGGGGAAACTTGTATTAAAACGTATGCAAGAAAAAGTTAGCTTTGGATACAATCCATTGAAAAGCATTGGGAAAGGATTTGCAGGCTGCTAAAGAAATCGCATGTTTAGCTCTGAGGAGTCACGTGTCTGGATCACAGCGGAGCAGCTGGTGGTCTGGTGCTTCTTCGGAAGGTGCAGCTTCACAACTGTATCTCATCAAGAGGAAGATGCTCAAGATGGTGTCCTGAGAGAAACCAATAAAGGGGCATTCGGCTTGAAAAAGACGAAGCTGAACCATGAGAATTCTTTTCCAACAGGGAAGGGCGCTCCGGTTCAGGAGGAATGAGTTATTTTGCTCAGGGGATAGAGTGAAGACTAGATTGCAACAAACCACAGTGCCGTCTAGGCGAGCTCTGGGCTGTCTCTCCTAAGAGAGAGGACTGAAAAGAGCATGGGTTCTGAAGTCATCGTGGTCTGAGTACGAATCCCCACTCCGTGGAGCCTGCGTCCTCTGGCCCCTGGCATCTCCAGCCTCCTCTCCTCTCAGGCAGCATTCCCACTGGAGGTTGCACATCCTCTGGAAGTATGCGTTGGGGGTGGCTCCTTCAGCCTGGAATGCTTTTCTCTTATTTCCTTTGGATGCTTAGTGAACTTTTGTCCTTCCAGACTCAGCCAGAAGCTGATCTCAGTGTTAAACTAGGCGTCTCCACTCCATGCAGAATATATACCCACTAGTAAATGTACTAGTAACTTGACTAGAGTTAGAGATTCATCTTTTCTCCCCATGGTGCGTCTTTGAGGACCAGGCTATGTATCTGATTTGCCTTTCTCTTTGCAGCACCTGTATTCCAATAAATATGAGGTGAATGGACACGTCTTTTCAATCGTGGGTAGAACATGGCATGTCTGCCCTTGGGTGAGAAACCCTAAGTGCTGGGGATTACACTCGTGGCAGTCACTTATGCTACTGAGTCTGACATACTTTTCTCCATTTTCAAGTCCATTTAAGTAGATATATTGCCAACGCCGTCATTCCCCTGAAGTCTGGGGGACTTTGGCCTCTAAATTCTCACTGTTTTGCAGCTGAAAAAGTGCTGTACTGTACCTGAGGTGGTGTTGAGTGTGGTAGGCAGAGCACCTCGTGAGGGTTCAGAGACCAAAGGAGATTTCACCTTTCTGGCTGTAGCTCCCTCGACTCCCTCTACCAGGCATCACTCTCTCTTTAGGGTGGGACAGTCATTCAATTTAGATTCTTGCGGAGGATGGTAACTTACATAGTGAGGTGCAGTGGATACTCACCAAGCTGTGAAAGCAGATTAATTTCTTTTTTTTTTTTTGAGACTTTGTTTTTATTACTCAAAAAAAGCTTCATTTTAAAATTTATTTAGCTTTCTGACTCTGTGCTTCTGCCTTCAACACTTTCACACGATTTTCTGCTCCTCAATAAGGAAAGCATGCTTGATCTTATCCCGGACACATTTAGCACACATGGAACCACCAGAGGCCCGGCTGACGTGTTTTTTCGTTTTAGACAACCTCATTAGAACTTTTAGGTCTCACAGTAGGAACTCCTCGAAGTCGGCCTGGGCACACGCCACATGAAGATTTGGGTGCTTTCCCAACCTTCTTGGTATAAAGGTAAACAATCCTATTACCAGGGGGTCGGGACAGCCTGGTTTTGTTGGAGGCTGTGTTGTAGGACAGCCTCTGACGGTATGTCAAACGCTGGATCATGGTGAATACCTAAACAGAAGTCACCGTCCCCAGAAGAGCAGATTAATTTCTTAACTCCTGAAAACTTTTAGTCACTGCACCACGCAAATCACAACTTCCTTCTGTTTAATGGAGCATCTTTTCAGTACAGAACTTCCTTTTGTAAATTTTACTTTATGTATTTTAATAAGAATTACCTTCAGAAGAAAAAGTATTTATAATATGCCACTTTCCAGGTAACAAGAGGAGAAAAGATACAGATGTGCAATTGCTTCCTTATTTACAGAATATCTCTAGATGGATACATCAGATTAGGGTAACCCTGGTTCCCCCTAGGAGGAGAGCGAGGTGTCTAGCAGGCAGGGTGGGAAGACTTTCCACTTATATCCTTTTGTAGCTTCAGGGTTGAACCATATAAATGACTTCACTTCCTTCATAATCATAAGCCAATAATAATTTCATGTGTAACACTTTGAAGGGGTTGTTCAAGTGGCTTCTCATGGGGATGTGACTGTCAAATGAACATGGTTGAGGGAAAACAGCTTAAGTGCTCGGTCAGCGAATGACACTCGCGGATTATGAGGGAGGAAGTTCAACTCAGTTATCTAACATCCTTGGGTTTGGGGATCATTTTCTATTTTTAAAATTCTTTTATTTTCTTCCCGATTCAATTAACACGTTTTTATTTAGTGCCTCCTCTCTGCCCAGCAGTGCCCTAGGAATTCTAGCAGTTAGAAAACAAGCCTTCATGAAAGTTTTTAAAGTTCTTGCCAAGTGTGGACATCACTGTGGAATGGGGCGGCTGGGCAGTTGTCCTGGAAGCAGAGAGCCTTGAATTGAGACGTGGAGAGAGGCAGAGGGCTTGTGGAAGGTGGGCAGCAGGAGCTTGGGGTCAGGAGAAACAGTTTGATGGGGGCATTAGGAAGAGAAATAAGGATGGTTTGAGAGGCTGAGACCAGGTTAG